CAGAATCTTTTGTTTTGTCAACAATGCTGCAGTGAGTTCTTCAGATTAAGGTACATACACACAGCTGAATATGAACACAGAGTAGCTAAATGCACCCCTCCCTTCAAATCCCAATCTGTCCCTTAGACATCTGGGATTACGTGCACCTCTGTTGTCCAGCCCTGGCTCCTCAGACCTTTAGACTCTGACTTTGGCATAGCAGTCCCACATTTGTGCTCTTCATCTCTCTTGTCCTCTCCCTCAAGCATGTCTGAGTCACCTTAGGGCATCAATTAAGGCTCAGTAGCCCCCATCTGTCCCCGCGACTGCCACATCTTGGCCAATGGGTGCTTGTAGTAGTAACTCAGGGACTTGGAGCTATGCCGTTGGGATCCCCAAAGGGAGCAGAGGCTCAGAGGACTCAGGCCTACAGAGTCTGGGAGCTGAGGAAAGAGGGGGTAGCAGCCGAGGATGCAGAGTGAAGCCCAGGGCAGTGGCCAGATGACATCTTCTGTCTGAGGGCCATCCTTTGTGTCTCCTCATCTTCACAGAAGGAGGGGCCCTCGGGGGGCTGGGTGGTGTCATGGTGGGTGGAGAAGCTGACTCTTGAGGCCTGCAGAGGGTCAATCCAAACTGCCTGGGCTGGCTTACCAGAGCTGGGGCATTGTGAGGGCAGCGAGAAGGTTCTGCTCCACCGACTCCCCACGCTGTTCTTCAGTGCCCAGTCTTGCCTGCCCATCCCAGGAGGATAGCTTCTTCCAAGTGGAGTCACTCAGGCTGCGTGTCTGAGAGCCATGCACACAAGTGTGAGTCAGTGGTTAGGCATTGCTGGGGGCAGTGTGTTGTTTGTTTCTTGTTTAAGAAAACAAGTTTGTTTTTTGAAAGTATATATGATTTATTAGCTGGGGTGATGATCCCTGGTACCCCCAAAACAAAAAAAATTGATAGTATATGTGATTTAGATGACAGGGTGACATCAGGAGAAAATGGGTTCATGGGTTGTCACTTGGGTGATGTACCCTTACATTGACTGATGGAGCATTTTGTTTTCAAGAGATGAGTACTAATTAAGATCCTTAGTCAAATAAATTATCCTGCTTTTTCGTTATGACTCAGTTTCCAGCATGGGGGTTTAGGTTTTTTGTTTGTTTGCTTTCACTGTTGTTATTGTTATCTTGAGGGGCTAGCACAGCACATGCCACTCTATAAATTGTTCAGCAGAAGTAGGAATTTTATGAATGGACCATTTTCATTTTAAGATAAAACTTTGCTTCTGTAATGATATTGATAGCTTGTGTGCTTTCACTGACCGAGGAAGATACTTTACTAACCAGCTTCCTTCACTCCAGAGCTGCAGTCAGCTCCCCTATAAGACCGCAGGGACCTACGGGGCTCTACGGGTGGCTGTTGGCTTTAGGGATGGCTCTCTCTATTTCCCTCCATTCCTCTCTCTACTATAGGGCAAGTTTCAGCTCAAAGGGTTTCATTTCATCACCTGTAAAATGGTCACTAGTGATTCCATCAGACTCTGATGGGGATTACAAGTTGGGCACAGGCTTCCAGGCAGGACTCTTGATTTTAGTTTTCTCCTCTTGTGCTCATCCTGGCAGTTGTTGAACATGCAGCAACAAACTGTCCTGTGGTGTGCGTTGAAGCACGTGGTGTCTGATGCTGCTGGACCTGTGGGTCCCACCTGCCAGGCTTACCACGCACTCCTGTCTAGCGCCGGCCTGTCTTTCACAGCGCGGCTCTGGTAACCCTTGGCCTCATGGAGTGTCCTCGCATGCCTTCCCAGGAAGAGTTGGTTTTGTTTTCAGTTGTACAGAGCACAGCTCTCTGCCCAAATGAAAGCTAAAGAAATGAATCTACAGCGTGTCATCAGTTTCTGAAGGAAACATGCTGGAAGAAAATATGCCAGGATGTAAACTGTGGATATTTGTTTCTTTTTTCTGCTTTTCAGATATTCTGTTACAACATGATCGCATTATGTTTCAAAGATCATTGAAAACTAAGCAAGCAGGAAAGCTCAGGCTTCTGGACTGTTCTGGCACGGAGGAAGCCTCCTCCAGGGCTAAGCCGGACATCTGGGCTGGTGTTTCCACATCCGGCCGACCTCGCAGGGGCCTTTCATCGTCATTAGCTATCGCTCCTCCTCACGTTCAACCTCTCACTCCTTTTTGTCTAGATTCCTCCATATATAAATCTGCCTAAGTCCTTTCTGCATCCTAGCAAAACAGATAATGTCCTCCAAGCTCCAGCAGTGCTCCTCTGTAGCCCCTGCCCATCGCCCCTTCTCTCACACCCAGAGTTCCTGGAGGAGCAGTCCAAGTCTCCAGGCCCCCGACGGCATGACAGACTACATGGCAGCCTGGCTCCCTCTCTCAGTGCAGCCTTAGATTGCGCTTGTCAGTGTCTCCAGTGACATGGCACTCTCATTGCAGCCTTTCTTAGCAGATTTCTTTGCCCTTTGACATCATTGTCTGCCTTTTCCTTGAAACTGTGTCTCCAGAGTGTTCTCTGGCACAGTTGTAATGCTGTCACTACAGTTCGTATCATGTACCATGTCCCTTGTAGACAGTTCCTGTGTCCTCATTTCAGCTCATAAGAAAGTGAAGCTATCTAGCCTAGAGAGCCTCAGAATCTTGTGCAAGATTTGAAGCTATTTTCAGAACCAAAACCCCAAGCTGTATCCCATCACGACATTTCTCTTTTCATAAATTCCTCTTGCCTAAGGAGCTGCCTTCAGATTCCTCTGTGGGCTCTCCTTTTCTTGGCACCCCATTAACTTTGGTACTCTCACTGTGGGCCCTGTTGGCACCTCCTGTTCCTGCCATGAATTCCACAATAGGCTGTGACCCACACATGGGACAGCCGTGTGAGGCATTTCCACTTGATTGCCCTACAGGCTCTTCACACTTAACGTGTCCACAGTGAGACTGCCGAGATCCTCCTTCGGATCCCAGTCCTCGGGTGTCACGCGCTAGCCTTGTCTAGGGTCCTGATCAAATGTAGTGTGCTGTTGGAGCAGAGCTGTGATGGCCTCCCAGGACCTTTGCAGTCACCCCCCAAGCTCTGCTCTAGCTACTGTTTTCACCCTGTCTAAACTATCTTGCTTTTCCCTGCAAGAATGATCCTCCCAATATGCAAATCCCATATCTGACCATCACAAGATCCTTCAGTGGCCTCCTGTGGTCTAGAGGTACAACCTGAGCTGATTTTCGTGCTCTTGTGGTCTTGGTGTGCTGAACCTTTTGGCTCCTCATCCCACTGTCTTCTAGCAGCATGCATTCCACACTCAATACTTGCACTGCTTTGAGTCCTCAGTCCCGTTAACTCCTGCTTCTCCACAAATGTCCCCTCTGCACAGAATACTCTGTGGGTCCATTGAGCAGGTCCTGTCTCATTTCTAAGACCTCCTTACTTGCTCGTGGGGGTAACTCAATTGTCTCTTGTATTTTTGCTGCACTTTGTATAGTTATTTTATTGAATTACAATTTTTCTATTAACCTGTGTTTCTCTTTTAGATTATAATGTTCTTGGGGCAGGCACTCTGACTATTTCTTTTATATTTTTTAGCTTTGAAACATAGCTTGAAAGTACCTTAACCAAAATTTAGAGAGAAGGAATAAATAAATGTACAGGAAACACTTGTAGAATTGTAGGCAGCTGAGTTGGATGGAAATTTTATAGGCAGACAGGGCAAGGCCCTCAAAGGAGCCAACCTTGCAACTGTGGGAGACACTGCCACTGTGGGCCAGACCTTGAGACAAAAGATCAAACAGATGCATGCCTCCCTAAGGATAAACATCAGATTGATACTCTAAATAGGTATCACTCACCTTGAAAAAGCTAGAAAGAGTCACTAACTCAACCTCTAAAGGAAAAGTCCCTGTTCTGTATTCATGCCTGCTTGCCATGTGACTCACTTCCCCATTTGATCCATAGTTAATCAATTTTACCTGAGCAATTATGCTTGTAATCTTATTGGTTGACCATAGTCTTACCCTACCTCATGCCCACCTTATGACTTTCTATGTTTCCTGACTTGGACCCACCTTGTGTCGTGGATTTGCTTTTTAAAAGTCCCTAACAATGGCAGGTTCCTGGGCAGTCCACTTAGATCCCCTTCTGTCCCTGTCTTGGACAGAAGCTTTCTTTCCCTCAATAAATAAACTTTGTTCTTAACCTCTGTTGTTCCTAAAATGCAGTCTTCAGTGTTAGAGAACATGAACTCCTCCCAGGTATCCTTCAGGTTGGGAGTTTCTTTCCCCCGTATCAGTAGCTTGCTGGGGAGAAGGGCATAGCTGATGTCTCAGACAGAGTGGCTTACAGGCAAGAGGTACTCGTTTCTTATAGTGCTGGAGCCTGGGAATCCGAGATCCAGGTGGGGCTGACTTTGTGTCTGGTGGGGCTGCTGCTTCACAGTGGGTACCTTCCATGGCCTCACATGCTGGGAGGGGAGAGAGAGCTCTCTGGCCTCATTGACTGGGGCACAAATCCCATTCTTTCAGCCTCCACCTTTGTCCTGACCTCCTATTACTATGATGTTGGGGTGAGAATTTTAACATAAATATGGGGGTGCACACATTCAGGCCATGGTAGCAATCATTACCCAGCTTATGGAATGAAGTATTCCCTGTACCTAAGGTACTTTATTGGGCACCACTCTTCCTACTCTTTGGCATTTATGGAATGATTACTTTGCGTATTTTCGTCAGAGCTGTATATACATTCTTTTTAAAAACAAATTTAAAGAGAATAAAAAATAGCAAAACCCCCACTTTTAATGTGTTGTCTTTGTTTTATTGCTCTGAAAAATTTTTAATACCATCTAATTGGGTTTTGTGAACTGTACATGTTTAAAATAATATACCAAAGGGTCACACACTGAAGATTTGGTTATCAGAGTATTTTTTTATTTTTTACCTTAGTACTAATGACCAAGTAGAAACAGAAAAATTTGAAAAGATAAGCAATAATCTATCTCAGTTCAAATTAATCCTCCTTTCTGTTCTCTCCAGGTGTTATTATTGTCCCCAGTGCTGGTGTTGGCATTGTCCTGGGAGGCTACATTATAAAAAAATTGAAGCTTGGTGCAAGAGAATCTGCGAAACTGGCCATGATCTGCAGTGGTGTGTCTTTGCTGTGTTTTTCAACTCTGTTCATTGTTGGATGTGAAAGTATTAATCTAGGAGGCATAAACATCCCATATACAACAGGGTAAGTACCTTTGAAGGCCACCCTGCCAGCCTGAGGAAGGGCGATGTGCTGTGTGTGCTGCACCGGTTAGATTCTCTGTGTACTTGTGGCATGTATGCTCCCGGGGGAGGCTCTGTGCACCATGTGTGTGTGCACCCGGGTCAGGCTCTGTGTACCCTGTGTGTGTGCACCTGGGTGAGGCTCTGTGCACCCTGTGTGTGT